TAGTGTTCAGTTTTCTAGTGTTCAGTGTTCTAGTGTTCAGTGTTTTGGTGCTCAGTGTTCTAGTGTTCAGTGTTCTAGTGTTCAGTGTTCTAGTGTTCAGTGTTCTGGTGTTCAGTGTTCTAGTGTTCAGTGTTCTAGTGTTCAGTGTTCTAGTGTTCAGTGTTTTGGTGCTCAGTGGTCTAGTGTTCAGTGTTCTAGTGTTCAGTGTTTTGGTGCTCAGTGTTCTAGTGTTCAGTGTTCTAGTGTTCAGTGTTTTGGTGCTCAGTGTTCTAGTGCTCAGTGTTCTAGTGTTCAGTGTTCTAGTGTTCAGTGTTCTAGTGTTCAGTGTTCTAGTGTTCAGTGTTCTAGTGTTCAGTGTTTTGGTGCTCAGTGTTTCTAGTGTTCAGTGTTCTAGTGTTCAGTGTTCTAGTGTTCAGTGTTCTAGTGTTCAGTGTTCTAGTGTTCAGTGTTCTAGTGTTCAGTGTTCTAGTGTTCAGTGTTCTAGTGTTCAGTGTTCTGGTGTTCAGTGTTCTAGTGTTCAGTGTTCTGGTGGTTCAGTGTTCTAGTGTTCAGTGTTCTAGTGTTCAGCGTTCTGGTGTTCAGTGTTCTAGTGTTGAGTGTTCTGGTGTTCAGTGTTCTAGTGTTGAGTGTTCTGGTGTTCAGTGTTCTAGTGTTCAGTGTTCTAGTGTTCAGTGTTCTGGTGTTGAGTGTTCTAGTGTTGAGTGTTCTGGTGTTCAGTGTTCTAGTGTTCAGTGTTCTAGTGTTCAGTGTTCTGGTGTTCAGTGTTCTGGTGTTCAGTGTTCTGGTGTTCAGTGTTCTAGTGTTCAGTGTTCTGGTGTTCAGTGTTCTGGTGTTCAGTTGTTCTAGTGTTCAGTGTTCTAGTGTTCAGTGTTCTGGTGTTCAGTGTTCTGGTGTTCAGTGTTCTAGTGTTCAGTGTTCTAGTGTTCAGTGTTCTGGTGTTCAGTGTTCTGGTGTTCAGTGTTCTGGGTTTCAGTGTTCTGGTGTTCAGTGTTCTAGTGTTCAGTGTTCTAGTGTTCAGTGTTCTAGTGTTCAGTGTTCTAGTGTTCAGTGTTCTAGTGTTCAGTGTTCTGGTGTCAGTGTTCTAGTGTTCAGTGTTTAGTGTTCAGTGTTCTAGTGTTCAGTGTTCTAGTGTTCAGTGTTCTAGTGTTTTAGTGTTCTAGTGTTCAGTGTTCTGGTGCTCAGTGTTCTAATGTTCAGTGTTTCAGTGTTCAGTGTTCTAGTGTTCAGTGTTCTGGTGCTCAGTGTTCTAGTGTTCAGTGTTCTAGTGTTCAGTGTTCTAGTGTTCAGTGCTCTAGTGTTCAGTGTTCTAGTGTTCAGCGTTCTAGTGTTCAGTGTTCTAGTGTTCAGTGTTCTGGTGTTCAGTGTTCTAGTGTTCAGTGTTCTGGTGTTCAGTGTTCTAGTGTTCAGTGTTCTAGTGTTCAGTGTTCTGGTGTTCAGTGTTCTAGTGTTCAGTGTTCTGGTGTTCAGTGTTCTAGTGTTCAGTGTTCTAGTGTTCAGTGTTCTGGTGTTCAGTGTTCTAGTGTTCAGTGTTCTGGTGTTCAGTGTTCTAGTGTTCAGTGTTCTGGTGTTCAGTGTTCTGGTGTTCAGTGTTCTAGTGTTCAGTGTTCTGGTGTTCAGTGTTCTGGTGTTCAGTGTTCTAGTGTTCAGTGTTCTAGTGTTCAGTGTTCTAGTGTTCAGTGTTCTAGTGTTCAGTGTTCTGGTGTTCAGTGTTCTAGTGTTCAGTGTTCTGGTGTTCAGTGTTCTAGTGTTCAGTGTTCTAGTGTTCAGTGTTCTGGTGTTCAGTGTTCTAGTGTTCAGTGTTCTAGTGTTCAGTGTTCTGGTTCAGTGTTCTGGTGTTCAGTGTTCTAGTGTTCAGTGTTCTAGTGTTCAGTGTTCTAGTGTTCATTTCGCAAGACACAAGAACAAGTCACTTGACACCAGCTGCCCCTGTTTACCTATCAGTAAACAGGAACCTAGCAGTGTACAGGAACCTAGCAGTAAACAGAAACCTAGCAGTGTACAGGAACCTAGCAGTAAACAGAAACCTAGCAGTGTACAGAAACCTAGCAGTAAACAGGAACCTAGCAGTGTACAGGAACCTAGCAGTGTACAGAAACCTAGCAGTAAACAGAAACCTAGCAGTGTACAGGAACCTAGCAGTGTACAGAAACCTAGCAGTAAACAGGAACCTAGCAGTGTACAGGAACCTAGCAGTGTACAGAAACCTAGCAGTAAATAGGAACCTAGCAGTGTACAGGAACCTAGCAGTAAACAGGAACCTAGCAGTGTGCAGGAACCTAGCAGTAAACAGGAATCCTAGCAGTGTACAGGAACCTAGCAGTAAACAGGAACCTAGCAGTGTGCAGGAACCTAGCAGTAAACAGGAACCTAGCAGTGTACAGGAACCTAGCAGTAAACAGGAACCTAGCAGTGTGCAGGAACCTAGCAGTAAACAGGAATCTAGCAGTGTACAGGAACCTAGCAGTAAACAGGAACCTAGCAGTGTGCAGGAACCTAGCAATAAACAGGAACCTTGCAGTGTACAGGACCCTAGCAGTAAACAGGAACCTAGCAGTGTGCAGGAACCTAGCAATAAACAGGAACCTAGCAGTGTACAGGACCCTAGCACCTGGAGGTTATTCCGGGGATCAACGCCCAGGCGGCCCGGTCCATGACCAGGCCTTCCGATGGATCAGGGCCTGATCAACTAGGCTGTTACTGCTGGCCACACGCAGTCCAACGTACGAGCCACAGCCCGGCTGATCCGGCACTGACTTTAGGTATCTGTCCAGCTTTCTCTTGAAGGCAGCCAGGGGTTTATTGGCAATTCCCCTAATGCTTGATGGGAGGCTGTAGAACAGTCTTGGGCCCCGGACACTTATGGTGTTTTCCCTTAGTGTACCAATGGCGCCCCTACTTTTAATTGGGGGCATTTTGCATCGCCTGCCCAGTCTTGTGTACAGGAACTTAACAGTAAACAGGAACCTTGCAGTATACAGGAACCTAGCAGTGTATAGGAACCTAGTGGTAAACAGTAACCTAGCAGTGTATAGGAACCTAGCAGTAAACAGGACCCTAGCAGTGTATAGGAACCTAGCAGTAAACAGGAACCTAGCAGTGTATAGGAACCTAGCAGTAAACAGGAACCTAGCAGTGTATAGGAACCTAGTAGTAAACAGGAACCTAGCAGTGTATAGGAACCTAGCAGTAAACAGGAACCTAGCAGTGTATAGGAACCTAGCAGTAAACAGGAACCTAGCAATAAACAGGAACCTAGCAATAAATAAAAACCTAGCAGTATACAGGAGCTTAACAGTAAACAGGAACCTTGCGGTATACAGGAACCTAACAGTAAACAGGAACCTTGCAGTATACAGGAACCTAACAGTAAACAGGAACCTTGCAGTATACAGGAACCTAACAGTAACAGGAACCTTACAGTATACAGGAACCTAACAGTAAACAGGAACCTTGCAGTATACAGGAACCTAACAGTAAACAGGAACCTTACAGTATACAGGAACCTAACAGTAAACAGGAACCTTGCAGTATACAGGAACCTAACAGTAAACAGGAACCTTACAGTATACAGGAACCTAACAGTAAACAGGAACCTTGCAGTATAACAGGAATCTAACAGTAAACAGGAACCTTACAGTATACAGGAACCTAACAGTAAACAGGAACCTTGCAGTATACAGGAACCTAACAGTAAACAGGAACCTTACAGTATACAGGAACCTAACAGTAAACAGGAACCTTGCAGTATACAGGAACCTAACAGTAAACAGGAACCTTACAGTATACAGGAACCTAACAGTAAACAGGAACCTTGCAGTGTACAGGAACCTAACAGTAAACAGGAACCTTACAGTATACAGGAACCTAACAGTAAACAGGAACCTTGCAGTATACAGGAACCTAACAGTAAACAGGAACCTTACAGTATACAGGAACCTAACAGTAAACAGGAACCTTGCAGTATACAGGAATCTAACAGTAAACAGGAACCTTACAGTATACAGGAACCTAACAGTAAACAGGAACCTTGCAGTATACAGGAACCTAACAGTAAACAGGAACCTTACTGTATACAGGAACCTAACAGTAAACAGGAACCTTACTGTATACAGGAACCTAACAGTAAACAGGAACCTTACAGATATACAGGAACCTAACAGTAAACAGGAACCATTGCAGTATACAGGAACCTAACAGTAAACAGAACCTTACAGTATACAGGAACCTAACAGTAAACAGGAACCTTGCAGTATACAGGAACCTAACAGTAAACAGGAACCTTACAGTATACAGGAACCTAACAGTAAACAGGAACCTTGCAGTGTACAGGAACCTAACAGTAAACAGGAACCTTGCAGTATACAGGAACCTAACAGTAAACAGGAACCTTACAGTATACAGGAACCTAACAGTAAACAGGAACCTTACAGTATACAGGAACCTAACAGTAAACAGGAACCTTGCAGTATACAGGAACCTAACAGTAAAGAAGAACCTAGTAGTAAATATTAACCTAGCAGTAAATATTAACCTAGCAGTTAATATTAACCTAGCAGTTAATATTAACCTAGCAGTAAATAATTAACCATAGCAGTAAATATTAACCTAGCAGTAAATATTAACCAAGCCAGTAAATATTAACCTAGCAGTAAATATTAACCTAGCAGTAAATATTAACCTAGCAGTAAATATTAACCTAGCAGTAAATATTAACCTAGCAGTAAATATTAACCTAGCAGTAAATATTAACCTAGCAGTAAATATTAACCTAGCAGTAAATATTAACCTAGCAGTAAATATTAACCTAGCAGTAAATAGGAATGTAGCAGTACAAAGATGTTAATAAAGAGTTATGGGTGGCATCCTGGGGACGGTGTCTGCCAAGACTCCTGAGTCACCTCAGATAACAATTCTTGACACATAAAATCAACGGAGTAATACAAAAAATTTAATATTACGCAGTTTAGTGGGACATTTACAGGTGTTCGCACGAGGTTTGATTCCCATAGGTTGGAGCATCACCAGGGTATAAGTAGACCTGCACCGTGATCCTTACTACACTCCTGCAGTGAACACTGACACAAGACACTGCTGCCACTCTCCAAACATGATGAAGACTCTACTGTTTGTCGTAGCCTTCACTGCTTTACTCTCTACAGGTTTGTCGTAGTCTTCACTGCTTTACTCTCTGCAGGTTTGTCGTAGTCTTCACTGCTTTACTCTCTACAGGTTTGTCGTAGTCTTCACTGCTTTACTCTCTGCAGGTTTGTCGTAGTCTTCACTGCTTTACTCTCTACAGGTTTGTCGTAGTCTTCACTGCTTTACTCTCTGCAGGTTTGTCGTAGTCTTCACTGCTTTACTCTCTGCAGGTTTGTCGTAGTCTTCACTGCTTTACTCTACAGGTTTGTCGTAGTCTTCACTGCTTTATTCTCTACAGTTTGTCGTAGTCTTCACTGCTTTACTCTCTACAGGTTTGTCGTAGTCTTCACTGCTTTACTCTCTACAGGTTTGTCGTAGTCTTCACTGCTTTACTCTCTACAGGTTTGTCGTAGTCTTCACTGCTTTACTCTCTACAGGTTTGTCGTAGTCTTCACTGCTTTACTCTCTACAGGTTTGTCGTAGTCTTCACTGCTTTACTCTCTACAGGTTTGTCGTAGCCTTCACTGCTTTACTCTGCAAGTTTGTCGTAGCCTTCACTGCTTTTTCTCTCTACAGGTTTGTCGTAGTTTTCACTGCTTTACTCTACAGGTTTGTCGTAGTCTTCACTGCTTTACTCTACAGGTTTGTCGTAGTCTTCACTGCTTTACTCTCTACAGGTTTGTCGTAGCCTTCACTGCTTTACTCTACAGGTTTATCGTAGTCTTCACTGCTTTACTCTCTACAGGTTTGTCGTAGTTTTCACTGCTTTACTCTACAGGTTTGTCGTAGTTTTCACTGCTTTACTCTACAGGTTTGTCGTAGTCTTCACTGCTTTACTCTCTACAGGTTTGTCGTAGTCTTCACTGCTTTACTCTGCAGGTTTGTCGTAGTCTTCACTGCTTTACTCTCTACAGGTTTGTCGTAGTCTTCACTACTTTACTCTGCAGGTTTGTCGTAGTCTTCACTGCTAAACTCTGCAGGTTTGTCGTAGCCTTCACTGATTTACTCTCTACAGGTTTGTCGTAGTCTTCACTGCTTTACTCTGCAGGTTTGTCGTAGCCTTCACTGATTTACTCTCTACAGGTTTGTCGTAGTCTTCACTGCTTTACTCTCTACCGGTTTGTCGTAGTCTTCACTGCTTTACTCTCTACAGGTTTGTCGTAGCCTTCACTGCTTTACTCTGCAGGTTTGTCGTAGTCTTCACTGCTTTACTCTGTAGGTTTGTCGTAGTCTTCACTGCTTTACTCCCTACAGATTTGTCGTAGTCTTCACTGCTTTACTCTGCAGGTTTGTCGTAGTCTTCACTGCTTTACTCTCTACAGGTTTGTCGTAGCCTTCACTGCTTTACTCTGCAGGTTTGTCGTAGTCTTCACTGCTTTACTCTCTACAGGTTTGTCGTAGTCTTCACTACTTTACTCTGCAGGTTTGTCGTAGCCTTCACTGATTTACTCTCTACAGGTTTGTCGTAGCCTTCACTGCTTTACTCTCTACAGGTTTGTCGTAGCCTTCACTGATTTACTCTCTACAGGTTTGTCGTAGTCTTCACTGCTTTACTCTCTACAGGTTTGTCATAGTCTTCACTGCTTTACTCTCTACAGGTTTGTCGTAGTCTTCACTGCTTTACTCTGCAAGTTTGTCGTAGTTTTCACTGCTTTACTCTGCAGGTTTGTCGTAGTCTTCACTGCTTTACTCTGCAGGTTTGTCGTAGTCTTCACTGCTTTACTCTGCAAGTTTGTCGTAGTTTTCACTGCTTTACTCTGCAGGTTTGTCGTAGTCTTCACTGCTTTACTCTCGGCAGGTTTGTCGTAGTCTTCACTGCTTTACTCTGCAGGTTTGTCGTAGTCTTCACTGCTTTACTCTGCAGGTTTGTCGTAGTCTTCACTGCTTTACTCTGCAGGTTTGTCGTAGTCTTCACTGCTTTACTCTCTACAGGTTTGTCGTAGTCTTCACTGCTTTACTCTCTACAGGTTTGTCGTAGTCTTCACTGCTTTACTCTCTACAGGATTGTCGTAGTCTTCACTGCTTTACTCTCTACAGGTTTGTCGTAGTCTTCACTGCTTTACTCTCTACAGGTTTGTCGTAGCCTTCACTGCTTTACTCTGCAAGTTTGTCGTAGTCTTCACTGCTTTACTCTCTACAGGTTTGTCGTAGTTTTCACTGCTCTACTCTACAGGTTTGTCGTAGTCTTCACTGCTTTACTCTCTACAGGTTTGTCGTAGCCTTCACTGCTTTACTCTGCAGGTTTGTCGTAGTCTTCACTGCTTTACTCTGCAGGTTTGTCGTAGCCTTCACTGCTTTACTCTGCAGGTTTGTCGTAGTCTTCACTGCTTTACTCTCTACAGGTTTGTCGTATCTTCACTGCTTAACTCTCTACAGGTTTGTCGTAGTCTTCACTGCTTTACTCTGCAGGTTTGTCGTAGTCTTCACTGCTTTACTCTCTACAGGTTTGTCGTAGTCTTCACTGCTTTACTCTCTACAGGTTTGTCGTAGTCTTCACTGCTTTACTCTGCAGGTTTGTCGTAGTCTTCACTGCTTTACTCTCTACAGGTTTGTCGTAGTCTTCACTGCTTTACTCTCTACAGGTTTGTCGTAGTCTTCACTGCTTTACTCTGCAGGTTTGTCGTAGTCTTCACTGCTTTACTCTCTACAGGTTTGTCGTAGTCTTCACTGCTTTACTCTCTACAGGTTTGTCGCAGTCTTCACTGCTTTACTCTCTACAGGTTTGTCGTAGTCTTCACTGCTTTACTCTCTACTGGTTTGTCGTAGTCTTCACTGCTTTACTCTCTACAGGTTTGTCGTAGTCTTCACTGCTTTACTCTGCAGGTTTGTCGTAGCCTTCACTGCTTTACTCTGCAGGTTTGTCGTAGTCTTCACTGCTTTACTCTCTACAGGTTTGTCGTAGTCTTCACTGCTTTACTCTCTACAGGTTTGTCGTAGTCTTCACTGCTTTACTCTGCAGGTTTGTCGTAGTCTTCACTGTTTTACTCTCTACTGGTTTGTCGTAGTCTTCACTGCTTTACTCTGCAGGTTTGTCGTAGCCTTCACTGCTTTACTCTCTACAGGTTTGTCGTAGTCTTCACTGCTTTACTCTACAGGTTTGTCGTAGTCTTCACTGCTTTACTCTGCAGGTTTGTCGTAGTCTTCACTGCTTTACTCTCTACAGGTTTGTCGTAGTCTTCACTGCTTTACTCTCTACAGGTTTGTCGTAGTCTTCACTGCTTTACTCTGCAGGTTTGTCGTAGTCTTCACTACTTTACTCTGCAGGTTTGTCGTAGTCTTCACTGCTTTACTCTGCAGGTTTGTTGTAGTCTTCACTGCTTTACTCTCTACAGGTTTGTCGTAGTCTTCACTGCTTTACTCTGCAGGTTTGTCGTAGTCTTCACTACTTTACTCTGCAGGTTTGTCGTAGTCTTCACTACTTTACTCTCTACAGGTTTGTCGTAGTCTTCACTGCTTTACTCTGCAGGTTTGTCGTAGTCTTCACTACTTTACTCTGCAGGTTTGTCGTAGTCTTCACTGCTTTACTCTGCAGGTTTGTCGTAGTCTTCACTACTTTACTCTCTACAGGTTTGTCGTAGTCTTCACTGCTTTACTCTGCAGGTTTGTCGTAGTCTTCACTACTTTACTCTGCAGGTTTGTCGTAGTCTTCACTGCTTTACTCTGGCAGGTTTGTCGTAGTCTTCACTACTTTACTCTGCAGGTTTGTCGTAGTCTCACTGCTTTACTCTCTACAGGTTTGTCGTAGTCTTCACTGCTTTACTCTGCAGGTTTGTCGTAGTCTTCACTACTTTACTCTGCAGGTTTGTCGTAGTCTTCACTGCTTTACTCTGCAGGTTTGTCGTAGTCTTCACTGCTTTACTCTCTACAGGTTTGTCGTAGTCTTCACTGCTTTACTCTGCAGGTTTGTCGTAGTCTTCACTACTTTACTCTGCAGGTTTGTCGTAGTCTTCACTGCTTTACTCTCTACAGGTTTGTCGTAGTCTTCACTACTTTACTCTGCAGGTTTGTCGTAGCCTTCACTGATTTACTCTCTACAGGTTTGTCGTAGCCTTCACTGCTTTACTCTCTACAGGTTTGTCGTAGCCTTCACTGCTTTACTCTCTACAGGTTGTCGTAGTCTCACTGCTTTACTCTACAGTTTGTCGTAGTCTTCACTGCTTTTACTCTCTACAGGTTTGTCGTAGTCTTCACTGCTTTACTCTCTACAGGTTTGTCGTAGCCTTCACTGCTTTACTCTCTACAGGTTTGTCGTAGTCTTCACTGCTTTACTCTACAGGTTTGTCGTAGTCTTCACTGCTTTACTCTCTACAGGTTTGTCGTAGTCTTCACTACTTTACTCTGCAGGTTTGTCGTAGCCTTCACTGATTTACTCTCTACAGGTTTGTCGTAGCCTTCACTGCTTTACTCTCTACAGGTTTGTCGTAGCCTTCACTGCTTTACTCTCTACAGTTTGTCGTAGTCTTCACTGCTTTACTCTACAGTTTGTCGTAGTCTTCACTGCTTTACTCTCTACAGGTTTGTCGTAGTCTTCACTGCTTTACTCTCTACAGGTTTGTCGTAGCCTTCACTGCTTTACTCTCTACAGGTTTGTCGTAGTCTTCACTGCTTTACTCTACAGGTTTGTCGTAGTCTTCACTGCTTTACTCTCTACAGGTTTGTCGTAGTCTTCACTGCTTTACTCTCTACAGGTTTGTCGTAGTCTTCACTGCTGTTACTCTGCAGGTTTGTCGTAGTCTTCACTGCTTTACTCTCTACAGGTTTGTCGTAGTCTTCACTGCTTTACTCTCTACAGGTTTGTCGTAGTCTTCACTGCTTTACTCTGCAGGTTTGTCGTAGTCTTCACTGCTTTACTCTCTACAGGTTTGTCGTAGTCTTCACTGCTTTACTCTCTACAGGTTTGTCGTAGTCTTCACTGCTTTACTCTGCAGGTTTGTCGTAGTCTTCACTGCTTTACTCTCTACAGGTTTGTCGTAGTCTTCACTGCTTTACTCTCTACAGGTTTGTCGTAGTCTTCACTGCTTTACTCTCTACAGGTTTGTCGTAGTCTTCACTGCTTTTACTCTCTACAGGTTTGTCGTAGTCTTCACTGCTTTACTCTCTACAGGTTTGTCGTAGTGTTCACTGCTTTACTCTACAGGTTTGTCGTAGTCTTCGCTGCTTTACTCTACAGGTTTGTCGTAGTCTTCGCTGCTTTACTCTACAGGTTTGTCGTAGTCTTCACTGCTTTACTCTCTACAGGTTTGTCGTAGTCTTCACTGCTTTACTCTCTACAGGTTTGTCGTAGTCTTCACTGCTTTACTCTACAGGTTTGTCGTAGTCTTCACTGCTTTACTCTCTACAGGTTTGTCGTAGTCTTCACTGCTTAACTCTACAGGTTTGTCGTAGTCTTCACTGCTTTACTCTACAGGTTTGTACGACATCACTTGTAGATTCTCGTCTCCTAACCACAACTGTTCATGTTTTTTTGCTAATATTTTGGTTTGTTTAAAGGTATAGTATGTGTGAGTGTGTACTCACCTGATCGTGATTGCAGGGGTCTGTTCATAGCTCCTGGCCCCGCCTCTTTGCTGCTCACTCTAGGTCCAGTCTCTCCCTACTTCATGAGCTTTGTCACACATGCACTCATGTGGTTGTGGTTGCAGGGGTCGATTCACAGCTCCTGGCCCCGCCTTTTTATGTGTATACTCACCTAGTTCTCACTAGTTGTGGTTGCAGGGGTCGAGTCACAGCTCCTGACCCCGCCTCTTCACTGGTCGTAGTGTGCGTGTGTGTGTGTGTGTGTGTGTGTGTGTGTGTGTGTGTGTGTGTGTGTGTGTGTGTGTGTGTGTGTGTGTGTATGTTCTCATCAAATCATGGTTGCAGGGGTCGAATCATAGCTTCTGGCCGCGTGTGCGTGTGTTTGAGTGTGTGTGTGTCGTCCACAGCACCAAACAATTTAGTACATATATTAACCTCATTTAAATAGGCTTAGCTTTGAAAAATCTATTTAGTTATATCCTCTGAAGAGGACACCTGTGCTTGTTGGAGTGTTTTTGTTCTTGAGAATGTCTTCTCTAATAGGCTTTAAACTCTTCTTGAACACTGGAAGGCTCGACATGTGATGTGTTTCCAGAAATAATCAGCCAATTTTTATTAATAAAATAGCGTATTCTTTTCATACAATAACTCACATTGCCTCTTCCGATCGGCTTCAAACTTTGAAATTTTGTATATCCTATATAACTAAAGGTTTAGACTGTTATTTAGTTATATAGTTGTCTAAGTGCCAATTATCATAGATCAAGCAAGGACTAAAGTTCATCTAGTTAGTCTGAGGACTGATATAAGTGTCAAAGTCGTCCTCATAACTCACTAAGGTTGTTCAGTCCTCCTCATACCTAAGTGTTCTTCGTGAACATCACGTGATGTTCTACTCTGTGCTTCAAGACTCACTAAGAGATGTTATGTCTCCCACAGGAAGCTTGGCATCAGTACATCAAGCTACATGTTACACTGATCATAACAAAGGTGGCAGCTACCAGACCTTCACTGACTACATCCCTGATCTTCTAACTTACAACTTTGACAATCAGATCTCCAGTGTCACTGTCACCGGAATGTGAGTATATCACTGCAAGTGTGTCTGTTTCAATCACTTGTTTTGCTTGGACATAATTATGAAGGTAACGTTATCATTATTGTTTCTTCTATTCCATCTTTTTCTCACTTCCCAATCCTCCCTCCCTCATCATTCTTCCTTCCCTGTCCCACATCTTTTTCTCCTTCACTTCCTTAGGGTCCTGAAGTAACTCGTGTCAGCGTCATTCAGTGCTCGTATCATCTTAAGATGATACGAGCACTGAATGACGCTGACACGAGTTACTTCAGTTATAAGTCTTAAGACTGACACGAGTTAGTTCAGTCATAAGTCTTAATTAGCGTAAGTTATACAGAGGTTCAGAGTGAGAGGATCCTCAAGCCTCACTGTAACTGGTGTTGTGTCCAGAGAGTGTCTGGACAGTGACCATGGCTGAGCTCCCTTTATACCCTTGATAAATTAAACCCATGTGCAACATTTGGGTATCTTTATTGTGGCGATACGTGTCCAAAAAAGATACCCAAATATTGTTCATGTGTCCAATTTATTAACTTCCCTGTTCTCTGAACCATTTATAAATATTGTTTATCCTGGGTAAACGATATATCACAAAAGGAATTATGGAAAAAAAGAAAAAAGAATTTAATATCAAGATAACTGAGGATGGTACACAAGTTATTGTGACAGAGAACACACAAATATACCCAGAAAACGGCTCTCAAATGAGCCGATGTAGGTAACAGTTTTTAGCTTGTAAATGAGCCGATGTAGGTAACAGTTTTTAGCTTGTAAATGAGCCGATGTAGGTAACAGTTTTTAGCTTGTAAATGAGCCGATGTAGGTAACAGTTTTTAGCTTGTAAATGAGCCGATGTAGGTAACAGTTTTTTAGCTTGTAAAGAGCCGATGTAGGTAACAGTTTTTAGCTTGTAAATGAGCCGATGTAGGTAACAGTTTTTAGCTTGTAAATGAGCCGATGTAGGTAACAGTTTTTAGCTTGTAAATGAGCCGATGTAGGTAACAGTTTTTTTGCTTGTAAATGAGCCGATGTAGGTAACAGTTTTTAGCTTGTAAATGAGCCGATGTAGGTAACAGTTTTTAGCTTGTAAATGAGCCGATGTAGGTAACAGTTTTTAGCTTGTAAATGAGCCAATGTAGGTAACAGTTTTTAGCTTGTAAATGAGCAGATGTAGGTAACAGTTTTTAGCTCGTAAATGAGCATATGTAGGTAACAGCTTTTAGCTTGTAAATGAGCCGATGTAGGTAACAGTTTTTAGCTCGTAAATGAGCAGATGTAGGTAACAGTTTTTAGCTCGTAAATGAGCAGATGTAGGTAACAGTTTTTAGCTTGTAAATGAGCAGATGTAGGTAACAGTTTTTAGCTTGTAAATGAGCAGATGTAGGTAACAGTTTTTAGCTTGTAAATGAGCAGACGTAGGTAACAGTTTTTAGCTCGTAAATGAGCAGATGTAGGTAACAGTTTTTAGCTTGTAAATAGCAGATGTAGGTAACAGTTTTTAGCTTGTAAATGAGCAGACTAGGTAACAGTTTTTAGCTCGTAAATGAGCAGATGTAGGTAACAGTTTTTAGCTTGTAAATGAGCAGATGTAGGTAACAGTTTTTAGCTTGTAAATGAGCAGATGTAGGTAACAGTTTTTAGCTTGTAAATGAGCAGACGTAGGTAACAGTTTTTAGCTCGTAAATGAGCAGATGTAGGTAACAGTTTTTAGCTTGTAAATGAGCTGATGTAGTTAACAGTTTTTAGCTTGTAAATGAGCTGATGTAGTTAACAGTTTTTAGCTTGTTAATAAAGTCAGGAATCCTTATCCTAACCTTGTAAAAGCTTGTGTATCAATAAAGTGACATTGTTGCTGTGTTGTCTGGTCTTGTAACTAAGAGTGAACAATGTCTCTCTCTCTTTCTAGCAAATAACCTAACTAATAATGTTTGGTAATTAATAGCATTAGTCAGATGTTTTTTGTACTGCTTTTTAATTATATGTTTTAATTCTCTCTCATTGTTAATTTATACTGAGTTGAATAACACGATAGAATGTGTTTAATATACTGTATAATAATAATAATAATAATAATAATAATAATAATAATAATAATAATAATAATAATAATAATAATAATAATAATAATAATCATTATTTACTACAAGTACATGTACAAGGTATACATACCATAGCTGACATCAGTGACATACTACTATATAGAAAGTCACTTGTTTGTTGACTTATTACTGTCAACAAACACATCAGCTTCCCTCCTGCCCTCTCTCCCTGCTTCCTTCTTGCTCTCTCTCCCTGCTTCCTTCTTGCTCTCTCTCCCTGCTTCCTTCCCGCCCTCTCTCCCTGCTTCCTTCCTGCCCTCTCTCCTGCTTCCTTCCTGCCCTCTCTCCCTGCTTCCTTCCTGCCCTCTCTCCCTGCTTCCTTCCTGCCCTCTCTCCCTGCTTCCTTCCTGCCCTCTCTCCCTGCTTCCTTCCTGGCCTGTCTCCCTGCTTCCTTCTTGCCCTCTCTCCCTGCTTCCTTCCTGCTCTCTCTCCCTGCTTCCTTCCTGCCCTCTCTCCCTGCTTCCTTCCTGCCCTCTCTCCCTGCTTCCTTCCTGCCCTCTCTCCCTGCTTCCTTCCTGCCTCTCTCACTGCTTCCTTCCTGCCCTCTCTCCCTGCTTCCTTCCTGCCCTCTCTCCCTGCTTCCTTCCTGCCCTCTCTCCCTGCTTCCTTCCTGCCCTCTCTCCCTGCTTCCTTCCTGCCCTCTCTCCCTGCTTCCTTCCTGCCCTCTCTCCCTGCTTCCTTCCTGCCCTCTCTCCCTGCTTCCTTCCTGCTCTCTCTCCCTGCTTCCTTCCTGCCCTCTCTCCCTGCTTCCTTCCTGCCCTCTCTCCCTGCTTCCTTGATGCCCTCTCTCCCTGCTTCCTTCTTGCCCTCTCTCCCTGCTTCCTTCCTGCTCTCTCTCTCTGCTTCCTTCCTGCCCTCTCTCCCTGCTTCCTTCCTGTCCTCTCTCCCTGCTTCCTTCCTGCCCTCTCTCCCTGCTTCCTTCTTGCCCTCTCTCCCTGCTTCCTTCCTGCCCTCTCTCCCTGCTTCCTTCCTGCCCTCTCTCCCTGCTTCCTTCTTGCCCTCTCTCCCTGCTTCCTTCCTGCCCTCTCTCCCTGATTCCTTCCTGCCTCTCTCCCTGCTTCCTTCCTGTCCTCTCTCTCTGCTTCCTTCCTGCCCTCTCTCCCTGCTTCCTTCTTGCCCTCTCTCCCCGCTTCCTTCCTGCCCTCTCTCCCTGCTTCCTTCCTGCCCTCTCTCCCTGCTTCCTTCCTGCTCTCTCTCCTTGCTTCCTTCCTGCCCTCTCTCCCTGCTTCCTTCCTGCCCTCTCTCCCTGCTTCCTTCCTGCCCTCTCTCCCTGCTTCCTTCTTGCCCTCTCCCTGCTTCCTTCTTGCCCTCTCTCCCTGCTTCTCCTCCGCTCTCTCTCTCTGCTTCCTTCCTGCTCTCTCTCTCTGCTTCCTTCCTGCTCTCTCTCCCTGCTTCCTTCCTGCCCTCTCTCCCTGCTTCCTTCCTGCCCTCTCTCCCTGCTTCCTTCCTGCCCTCTCTCCCTGCTTCCTTCTTGCCCTCTCTCCCTGCTTCCTTCCTGCCCTCTCCCCTGCTTCCTTCCTGTCCTCTCTCCCTGCTTCCTTCCTGCCCTCTCTCCCTGCTTCCTTCCCCGCCCTCTCCCCTGCTTCCTTCTGCCCTCTCTCCCTGCTTCCTTCCTGCCCTCTCTCCCTGCTTCCTTCCTGCCCTCTCTCCCTGCTTCCTTCCTGCCCTCTCTCCCTGCTTCCTTCCTGCCCTCTCTCCCTGCTTCCTTCCTGGCCTGTCTCCCTGCTTCCTTCTTGCCCTCTCTCCTTGCTTCCTTCCTGCTCTCTCTCCCTGCTTCCTTCCTGCTCTCTCTTTCCCTGCTTCCTTCCTGCCCTCTCTCCCTGCTTCCTTCCTGCCCTCTCTCCCTGCTTCCTTCCTGCCCTCTCTCCCTGCTTCCTTCCTGCCCTCTCTCCCTGCTTCCTTCTTGCCCTCTCTCCCTGCTTCCTTCTTGCCCTCTCCCCCTGCTTCCTTCCTGCTCCCCTCTCCCTGCTTCCTTCCTGCTCTCTCTCCCTGCTTCCTTCCAGCCCTCTCTCCCTGCTTCCTTCCTGTCCTCTCTCCCTGCTTCCTTCTTGCCCTCTCTCTTTGCTTCCTTCCTGCTCTCTCTCCCTGCTTCCTTCCTGCTCTCTCTCCCTGCTTCCTTCCTGCCCTCTCTCCCTGCTTCCTTCCTGCCCTCTCTCCCTGCTTCCTTCCTGCCCTCTCTCCCTGCTTCCTTCCCGCCCACTCTCCCTGCTTCCTTCCTGCCCTCTCTCCCTGCTTCCTTCCTGCCCTCTCTCCCTGCTTCCTTCCTGCCCTCTCTCCCTGCTTCCTTCCTGCCTTCTCTCCCTGCTTCCTTCCTGCCCTCTCTCCCTGCTTCCTTCCTGCCCTCACTCCCTGCTTCCTTCCTGCCCTCTCCCCTGCTTCCTTCATGCCCTCTCTCCTTGCTTCCTTCATGCCCTCTCTCCCTGTTTCCTTCCTGCCCTCTCTCCCTGCTTCCTTCCTGCTCTCTCTCCCTGCTTCCTCCATGCCCTCACTCCCTGCTTCATTCATGCCCTCTCTCCTTGCTTCCTTCTTGCCCTCTCTCCCTGCTTCTTCTTGCCCTCTCTTCCTGCTTCCTTCCTGCTCTCTCTCCCTGCTTCCTTCCTGCTCTCTCTCCCTGCTTCCTTCCTGCCCTCTCTCCCTGCTTCCTTCCTGCCCTCTCTCCCTGCTTCCTTCCTGCCCTCTCTCCCTGCTTCCTTCCTGCCCTCTCTCCCTGCTTCCTTCTTGCCCTCTCTCTTGCTTCCTTCCTGCTCTCTCTCCCTGCTTCCTTCCTGTCCTCTCTCTCCCTGCTTCCTTCCTGCTCTCTCTCCCTACTTCCTTCCTGCCCTCTCTCCCTGCTTCCTTCCTGCCCTCTCTCTTTGCTCCTTCCTGCCCTCTCTCCCTGCTTCCTTCCTGCCCTCTCTCCCTGCTTCTTCCTTCCCTCTCTCCCTGCTTCCTTCCTGCCCTCTCTCCCTGCTTCCTTCCTGCCCTCTCTCCCTGCTTCCTTCCTGCCCTCTCTCCCTGCTTCCTTCCTGCCCTCACTCCCTGCTTCCTTCCTGCCCTCTCTCCCTGCTTCCTTCATGCCCTCTCTCCTTGCTTCCTTCATGCCCTCTCTCCCTGTTTCCTTCATGCCCTCTCTCCTTGCTTCCTTCATGCCCTCTCTCCCTGCTTCCTTCCTGCCCTCTCTCCCTGCTTCCTTCCTGCCCTCACTCCCTGCTTCCTTCCTGCCCTCTCTCCCTGCTTCGTTCCTGCCCTCTCTCCCTGCTTCCTCCATGCCCTCTCTCCCTGCTTCCTTCATGCCCTCTCTCCTTGCTTCCTTCATGCCCTCTCTCCTTGCTTTCTTCATGCCCTCTCTCCCTGCTTCCTTCCTGCCCTCTCTCCTTGCTTCCTCCATGCCCTCACTCCCTGCTTTCATTCATGCCCTCTCTCCTTGCTTCCTTCATGCCCTCTCTCCCTGCTTCCTTCATGCCCTCTCTCCTTGCTTCCTTCCTGCCTCTCTCCCTGCTTCCTTCATGCCCTCTCTCCTTGCTTCCTTCATGCCCTCTCTCCCTGTTTCCTTCCTGCCCTCTCCCCCCTGCTTCCTTCATGCCCTCTCTCCCTGCTTCCTTCATGCCCTCTCTCCTTGCTTCCTTCATGCCCTCTCTCCCTGTTTCCTTCCTGCCCTCACTCCCTGCTTCATTCATGCCCTCTCTCC